TTCATGGCTCTTACAGACATGCTCTGAAGTTCAAATAGAGGTGAAGAGCTAGCAGGAAAAAGTTATGTGGCGACATTACGGAACAAGCACTATGGAAGAGGTTTCAGTGGAATGGAAAAGGCTGGTTTTTCATCCCAAGAAATGGCTTCCACTTTAATAGTAATCCATTTGTACAGCCCTTAGCTTTTAAAAAAGATATGGCTTATTGTTTTCTTTCTTTCACATTCTGCCACCCCAATCAAAAGTGTCTCAAGGCAGCTTAAAAAGAAGCTTTTGCTGGGGTGATGGTGAATAGGTACTGTGCAAAATGCAGTAAAAGCCCCAAAGAATAAAATATCAGCTATAATAATCATAAACCATAATTATTGAAACACTTGAAAAAATAACCATAAAGCAACATAGATTACCCACCTCCAAATGAACCTCATACTTGTGCCCAGGGTTCTTTTTGTAGAAAAAGCCCAGGAGGAACTCATTAGCATAATAGGCCACACCCAACAGCAGAAACTCATTAGCATATTAGGCCACACCCCTGACAGCACAGCTCATTAGCACATTAGGCCGCACCCCCATGTTACCAGAAGTGTGGTCATCCAGCCACACCCACCTTTTGCTTCTTATTCTGTTTACCTTGTTTGTTGTCAAAACCCAGGGCTTTTTTTGTAGCAGGAACTCCTTTGCATGTTAGGCCACACTAACCTAATGTAGCCAATCCTAATGAGTTTCTGCTGTTGGGTGTGGCCTATTATGCTAATGAGTTCCTGCTGGGCGTGACCAACTCAGGAGCCAGCCGGAACTCCGTTCCTGCCCAAAAATAGCCCTGCTTGTGCCTAGAACATGAAAGACACAGGTAGCACTTGGGATGCCTTATGTCAGTGTCTTGCCTAATTTACCCATCCTCTTGTGCTGCTGCTTCTGATGCACTGACTGCTCTGGTGACCATCAGCAGCACCTGCAACTGTGCTGCATTTCCACACTAATGAAAGTCAAATTTCGTATGTGCATGTTATTAAAATAACACCACCATCCTGCAGTTTCATTTTTTGGGTTCACTGAGAACATTTATGAAAACAGCTACACATAAAGTCCAGTAATAACATTAAACCCTGGGTATTCAACTGGGACAGGAGAGTGTACAGTCTGTACAGGCTGTTTTTGGCACTGCCATGCTCTTCCTTAGCTACAACATTTAATTGAAAGTCTTCCTACATTTTTGTCAGTGGGGGAGCACCTGCCATTAATTTCACAAAATATGCATTCTGCAATTAAAACTATGTAAACTCCTGATTACACTGTGCAAGCACCAAACTGGATAGTGGGTGGTAATATTAGTGCCCTGCAAATCTGTTTTCATTTTAATCCTTGAGATTATAAATACAGGTTTACAAGAGTATGATCAGAGCTGATGAATTTACCCATGGCAGAGCAACAACTGTCAGGACCATGTCAAATGGTGCTGGTCCGTCAACCCATTCTCTCAAGAAACTGTCTCAGAAGTCACTGCATTGTCCCAGAGCCTCTGGACCAGTCTCCTAGTTCATAGGAGGAGCAGCTGGAAGTTCTTTTGCTCTCCTTTTAGCCTTGCCAACACCAACAGGGACAGAAAAATCATGAAAGAGTTGGTTCCTCTTCCAGCATGGTCTCTGCATGTACACCTGCAGGATGGGGTGACATGCTTGGAGGTCACACAAGCCCCTCTTGGCCAGGAACCCTCCCCCCAATAGCAGTCAACTCTAGAGGGCGTTCTAATTACCAGGAAGAATTGGCATTTTCATGCCACATAGAGCACTTCTCATGACTGGTAAATGAAGAATAATTTATGCAACGTATCAGTGTGAGGTAGTGTTTTAGACTTGGTTGTTGTACAAGGGCTGGGGAGACCTGGGTTCCTCCCTTTGTCATGAAGCTCACTGGATGAATTTGGGCCAGGCATTCTCTCTCTTTCTCTCTCAGCTTAACCTACCTTACAAGGTGGCTGTGAAAATAAAATGAGAGAGGGGACCATGTATACTATCCTGAGTTCCTTAGAGGAAGGGTGGGATGTAAATGTAATATTCCAGATTTCCTGCTTTATATTCACATCTCCCAACTAGTTTTGAGGGTCCCATCTCTAGAGCTGCTTCAGGGCACATTTTCATAGCTTGTTTTTCAGTCTTCCTCAAACTGCAGTTAAACATCTAAAAATAACCAGTAATTCTAAGCACCATTGACTTGCATGGGGGGGGGGACCCAGCTTCTTCTATCTGGGGTTATCCATTAGTTACCAGTGAGCACACATGTAATGGGTTCCTCACATTACCTTTACTATCAGTTTCTGACTCATTGCTTCAGGCCATCCCAAGTGAGGAAAGCACTGAATAAAATCATAAATCCTAATCCTAACAATTAATTTGATCAAGGGCAGTGGAAACTGGTTTATGACCTGCCACTTCTCAAGCACGTTGAAAATGCAAATGAAGGAAGGGACTCTGGGCTTTTATCACCTCTTTTGTTTACCAAAGGCTGCCTGCGTCTTTTCTCATGCAGAGCCATGGGGAAGGGGACAGATGGTGAAGGGAAGCCACTGGTCAGACAAAGAAAACCAAAGCTGCCAGCTATTGTCCAGGAAAACAGTCAAAAATATCAAAGGTCTGGCTTGGCCTGGCCTGGAGATACCCAGAGGAGCTGTAAGACATGAGGTTATGAGGGAAATGTCATTCTCAATGGTGCTGGTGAGACAGATTTCAATTAAATTACAAGGCAGGCCCATAAAATCTGTAACACAGACTGGTTTTGCAGCTGGGTAGGAGGACACTGTGAACTATAGAGCTCTCTAACAGTGTCACCTCCATGTTTCATCCTCCCCTCCCACACACACACACTGCTCTTTGTCTGCACAGGGACTGTTAAAAATGGTAAGAATGTCATGATATGAATAGAAAAATCAATAAATATGTTGGCCTAGACCTGAATGTAAGCATTTATAAATGCTGAAGAAGTTATTTATTATATTGGTATTCCACTCTTTCTTCAAAGGGCTCGGAGCATCCATGAGGTTAAAACATTGATAATTTGCATTTCTTTAGGATATTCAATGCATAACTTACCTAAGGAACAAATCAGATGAGACAGGGAAATCCATGCTGAGATCCATATCTCCCACAGATTCTTTAAAGGTCATAGGAATGTGGAGGGACTGTTTTGATCAGAAAAGCAAGGGTGGGGGGAGACCATTTCTGCATATGCCATTTTTTCCAATCTAAATCTCACAAAATGCCTCTATGTGCCCTGTAGGGGGAAACAATCCAGTAAATTCCCTCCCAGCACCACTTCCCCAGCCCAACCCACCATCACTCCACAGCTGCTTTGACCTTTAACTAAAAATTCAGAGATCTGATTATGGATCTTTTTGTATCTTATCTGATTTGGCTAGGACCCAATTAGTCTGTGTCATACCTGAGTGAGAATTATAACTCCCACATCCCTAATACATAGCTGAATCTGGGTGGGGCCAGTGGATACACTACCCCACCTGCAGAACAGATTTACTTTTTAAAACTTGCTCTATAATTTTTGCCATGACATCTTCTAGTCAAATAGAGTAGCTCAAGTGGTTAAGACGCTGAACTGCAGGCTGGAAGGTCGGTAGTTCAGCAGTTCGAGACCCGAGTGCCGCATGATGGAGTGAGCTCCTGTCTCTGGTTCCAGCTCCTGCCAACCTAGCAGTTCGAAAGCAAGAAATTGCAAGTAGATAAATATGTACTGCTTTGGTGGGAAGGTAACAGCATTCCATGCATCTTGGCGTTTAGTCATGCCAGCCACGTGACCACCGAAACGTCTTCGGACAGCGCTGGCTCTTCGGCTTGGAAACGGAGATGAGCACCGCAACCCTACAGTCAGATTTTTTTGTTAAAAAATATATCCTTGATATCTGGTTCTCACCCCAAAATTGTTTAGTGGAGCAGCATGACATGAAGCACAAATGAAGAAAAAAAGCAATGTCACAGCAATACTGTAAGAATTTCTCAAATATTTATGGTTTTTATTATAGAGACTTGGGAAATTCCTAGAGCAATGCAGCAATGTTGTTGTGATGTTACTTCTGGGTACATAACCAGAAGTGATGTTGTGGCATCATATACCCATTCTGTGCCCCAAATCTCCCAGGGTTTCCAGCAGATGAATGGCAACCCTGGTATTAATAGCTGTAGTTTATTTCCTTGTTGATACTTACATTCAGAGTTGAAACAGGCAATGCCATGAGGGGTAGTTTAAATTCCCAGGCAGACTTACCTACTGATTTATTTATTTCCTGTAATACGCTACCAGTTCTGTGACAGAAACAAATATGCCTTGGCACACACTTTGGGAATTACTGGTTGCATGGAATTCTTGTTTACCAAATATGGGAGATATGCTTCCAAAATCTACAGGCCACATGTTTGGTAGTGGATGATTTGCAATCTGTCAACTTTGGCTTCCCATAGGTAAATGGAATAGCTGAGAGGTTGCCGTATAGGGATCTTTTAAGGATAAGAAACTGGACTGTAAAGTATTTTTCATACTTAAAAGGCTGCAGAAATTATCTTCGATGTAGTGTTTTGTAGTCTCCATGCATACCCAAGGGCTATCTCACTACTGTAACCCCAGACCTGTCTGAAAAGGAGAATGCTTTGCCTATCCATCAGCCTGGGGAACTGTTCAATTCAATGCAGTACAGCCAAGGTCTGTTGTGGTATGGTCTGAAAACTGCTGCATGGAGCAGGTGCTGTGGACCTCAGCTATTTGCCCAATTATATACCCTTTGGCAAGAGAGATATAGTTCCCTAAGAAACAGCACCAGCAGGGAAACTGACAGATCGAGAGCATGATCCTGATGATGGTGAAGGCCAACCTTGCTTATTTTCAGGTGCTTCTTAGTTGCTTTATTTCTGCTCACACAGTGTTGCAGATTCTGACCACTCACAACGTTTTTTTCCTTTGGGCACTTGATAACTTTGATTTCTGTTTCTTCGTTACAGGATTACAGAGTGAATATTTTCTTGCGGCAGCAGTGGAATGATCCCCGGCTGGCGTACAATGAATATCCAGATGATTCCCTGGATTTGGACCCTTCCATGTTGGATTCCATCTGGAAACCAGATTTGTTTTTTGCTAATGAGAAAGGGGCCCACTTTCATGAGATCACCACTGATAACAAACTCCTGCGTATCGCCAGAAATGGCAATGTCCTGTACAGCATCAGGTGAGGGTTAAGGGTTGGAACAAAAAGGGGAAAGAGCAGAGAGTCCTACTGCCTGAGTGTGTTATATATATATACAAGTGGAGACCCGCAAGAAACTTGCGGAATGGTTATCCTGTTCCTCACACCTTTGCTTCCTCCTGTCTCCCTCTACCTCTCTCACACTCTTTCTCCCTTCTGCCCCCCCCTTTTCTTTTTCTCCTCCAGCTATGGCATTATACTGATCTGTAGTTCTTTCCCTCCTCCAATCCCACCCTCCCCAGGCTCCACCCCACAAATGTCCAGGAATTTCCCAACCTGGAGTTGGCAACACAATTTCCTTCCCACCCAACAGCCAACCTACCTTTATCTGCCTCTCTGTCTGCAACTTTCCATCTCCACACCCCTCCCCCACAGCCTCTACCTAGAAAAATTACAGTCTTTCTCCACAGTGGGAACCAAAGCAGCTTACATTATTCTCTCCTCCTTTTTATCTGCACAACAACCCTGTGAGGTTGGCTAGGCTGAATGTATGTGACTGGTCCAAAATAACCCAGTTAGCTTCCACTGCAAGATAGGGATCTGAACCTGGGTCTTGCAAACCCTAATCTGAAGCTCTAACTGATGGCTGCTGATGAACAGTAGCAAGCAGCTGGGCCTACTTGAGTCATGCAAATCAGGTGGTATCAAGTCACCCAGAGGGTGCTGCCGAGGGATGCCAGCCTCCAGGTGGGACCTGGGGATCCCCTGTAATTCCTGCTCATTTCCAGACTACAGAGATAACTTCCCATGGAGAAAATGGATGCTTTGGAGGGTGGACTCTGTGACATTGTACCCCACTGAGGTCCCTGTCCTCCCCAGGCTCCTCCCGCAAATCTCCAGGAGTTTCCCAGCCTGGACCTGGCAACCTTATCCAGAATCCCCTGTCGGTGGCCAGGGGGGGAACCTGGCAACCCTAAAGGGCTGGCAGGCCTAGGCTTGGCAACCTCTAAATGGGGCCTGAAGGAAACCCCCCACCCCCAGACTTACAACTGAACTCAAGGCAGCAGAGATCTGTCTCCCTGGAGAAAATGACTGTTTTA